ACGTGCCGAGCTGCAGGAAAACACTCGATGCGTGTCTTGCGTGTGTACGGCGGCGGCAGCTTCAGCTGCCGTACAGTACAAGTCGTACAGTACGGCGAAAACAGGCAGTCAGTCAGTCAGCTAGTCAGACAAATAGCAGCAGCCGCTACGTGCTAATTAAGGTCGAAAACAGAAAGACGGAAAAAAAGAGAGTCAGACAGACGGTTTTGCTGAACAAATAAACGAGCAGCAGTAGCAGCAGCCGGCGCAAATAAAAAGCGGAGACTAAAGTGCAAGTTGTGGACATTGGATTAATTAAAAGACAGAGAAGAAGAAGAAGAAGAAGAAGAAGGTAATAGAATGCAAAAATGAGGCAAAAAGCTAGCGGTTTTGTTGTTGTTCTTCTGTTTTGCTTCTTTTGCTGTTTGTCATCGCCTCATAACAACAATTAATTGACTGAATTAATTTACTTGAATACATTTTTCCCATTTCGTTTTCCTTTATTTTTTGCACGTTATGAAAGCTCAAAAAGTTCCTGCTAAAATCTCAGTTAGCTTTTTCATTTCCTCTTTCAAATCTTATTTACAGAAAACAAATCTTATTTGTCTTCACACCATCTCGCACTTTACTTTAACTGCAAACTGGTTGTAAATTTAAAAAAAGCACAGAGGGGGCCCGGAAGTACTTTCAGCGAAAAAGCCTTAGAGTAAAAGATAGAGCAGCAGCAGCAGCTGTTACTCGTTAAATTCGTTACTCAACTGTTTTCCCTCCGCTTCCTACTCTTATTTTTTATTTTATTTTTGTTGTCCTCCTTTTCGGTCATATCACCTCGGCTCTGCTCGGCGCCTCAACTTTGGTGCACAGCAGTTTTTTTTCTGGCTCACAGCAGTTTTAACCTCGCAGTCGCAAGACTTGCTTCGTCGTCGTTGTCACAGTTCCCGGTGTCATTTGTCTGGCAGTTTTGTCTGCCAGCCTTCTGCCTTCTCTGCCTCCTTTTCGTTACCCAGAGCCAAATTGTTGCCGTCGCCGAAAAAATGTTGTTGTTGTCGGCGAAGAAGTGCACAAACAAACAAATGCGACTTGCACTGAAAAGAGATTAAGCTGCTGATGTGGCTGCTGCTGTTGCTTTGAGCCAGCCAGACAGGACAGTCTCCGAACACCCATTAATCTGACACAGAGCAACAGCAGAAAAACAGGCAAATAGTTTTCCAAACGCACTCACATTTTTTCTTTCTAAGGGAACACAAGTTTAGTGCAGAAAGCTTTTCCCATTGTTTTCCAATCAAGCTAGGACTTTTATTCTCTTTTCTCCGAAGAGAATAATTCTCATTTTCTTCATTTTCGAGAATCGTCTCAGCAGCTTGTTTTCTTCTTGCAAATCAAATCAAATTTGCACTCGCAAGTGCGCGCCCGTATACTGTACAAATTATTTTGCTAGATTGAGGGAAGGGGGTGAAAATAGGGGAGGAAAATGAGGTAATTGGGTAGGAGAGGGAACAGAGAAAGAGCAGACAGTGTAAAGGTACTTGATAGGAAAGCAGTACAGGTAAAGTTTTTTTTATTCTTTTTCCGCCAAAGTTGAGTGCAAGTGTACAGAGAAAAAGAAAGAAAGAAAGATAGTTTCCAGTGCACCGAGGACGCAGAGGGGTTGAATTTAAATTTAAGTTTTTAAATTGGGCTGTTTTTTGCAAAGTGCTCTTTTTAGTTAGAGAAAAGAAGTAAGTTTCTCAGTGTTTGCTCATCATTTTGACATCATTTTTGCCTTCTTCTTTAGAACACAGAGTAAATATTTTGCCTAAAATTACCATTTTATTCTCTTCTTCTTCTTTTGAGTCAATTTGCATTTTAAATTTGCTGTTGCTGACGGCTGCCACTTCTTTTTGGGTGCAAGGCAAACAAATAACAGCAGCAGCAGTAGCGACGACGACATTGACATTGAAATGTCTAAAAAGAAGCAAAAGTGTAGCCGAATAACACTAAATTATTTATAAAGCATCCGTTTTCACTTTTTGAAAATGGCGGTAATTTGAGGGTGATATGTTGTGTTGTAACAGAGAGGATGATGATGACGACATTTCAAGCCATTCATTCAATTCAATTTCCATTGCGACATCTTTCTCTCATTCATTTCCGTTAGCACCATCACCCTCACTACTAAATTATCTCCTTCTTCTTCTTCTTTTTCTCTCCGCTTCTTTTCATTCTCTGATTCCGTCATCACCCTTCCATTTCCTTCCAGTCCATTGTCACATGTGTGTGTTTGTGCGTTCAATGACGTAATCACCGCGTGCCAGCAAAAAAGAAAGAGAAAAAGAGAATCGAGAGAGGAAAATGTGTAACTGACCGGCTTCACACTGCGGCTTCTGAAAAGCCATTGTACGGCAGCTGATAGAAAATAGAAAGCAGGCATCACACACACTTTCACTGCTGTACAGCTGTACAGTTTTTTGCTTTGTACAGTAGAAGAATTCCAATGCCGACATAGAAGATAGGCGGGCGGGCAGAGACAGGAAGAGGCGAGAATCAATAACCGCCAACTCTTTCTCTGCATCGACCGTACAGTACCGTACAAAGCCGAAAGCAGAAAGACCCGTACACTGCCACCGCCGAAAACAAGAGTCATTTTTCACTGCTTCTTTTTGCTTTTTGCTTCTACTACAGGGTCAATCACTAGAGAAAGCGGAGGAAAAGCAGAAAAATATGAGCCCAATTTGCACTGCTGCTGCCCCGCACCCGCAACTTCTCTGTAATAATAGTAAAAGTAATCATCATCATCGTTTCGTTTCGTTTGGTTTCGCCACCCAAGCTGACTAACACTGCCGAGAACTGAACATGCACTGCAAAGGAACTGTCTCTCTATTCTGGAACATTCGATAGAGAGGAGAAGTAGAAGGAAAAAGAAGTTTGGTGGAGGCAAACAATGTAGAGGTAGTACAGCTAAAAGCTATGAGCAAGTGAGTGTGTTCACTGAAGCAGCTCATAGGCTTTGAAAGCTGATGGCCTTCAGCAGCAGACTTTTGCAGACTACCCGTACACTTTTCTCTTCATCTTGTTCCCCCGATCTGCCCTTGCTTCGGTTGCTATATAGCATGTGAACACTCATAGTCATCTCCTCCACTTCTACTGCGGAAAATGCATTGACATTTGTGGCTGACGTGCAGGCAGTCATAGTTTTCTCCACTACCTCTACGCTTTTATTCTCTCTCTCTCTCCTTCTCTACAGTTCAGCAAACCGAGACACTTGCTCATTCATTCGACCCATAGATAGACATGAAAGAGAGGAAGGGAAGAGAGAAAATGTAGCTGTAGTGAACGCAAAAAAAGTGACGGTTGCCTGCAAAGCACCAGCTGCCGGTATTTCTCTCCAAAGCTCGAGCTGCCAATTCTCTCCAAGCAAAGCCTTCTCTGCCTGCAAAGCCTGAGCAGTTTTCAGTCTCAGTCTCGCCTTTGTCACGACCGCCGCCGCCGCCTCAGCTTTCCATTCGCTTGCACTCGTTTTGCAACAAAATCAAATCACAGCAGCAATTCACAGCAGCAGCAAAACAAAATAAAGCACCGCACTTTTAGAACAGCAGTTTTACCGTTTTGTCTAAACAACCAGCACAGTTGAAGCTTTCAGCCTGGAACTGCAATAGCCAACTGAGAACTCATCATCTTCTTCTTTTCAAACAAACACCGCTTTTGCAACATTTTGAAGAAGCTGTGAAACAAACAGTTTCGTCTCATCTCTGTCAGTGTCAAAATCTCAGTCTTCTTCATTTATTTTTCGAAATTGCCAGTTCTCAAAGCTCAGCAAAGCTGTCTCCGCCACTTTTACCCTCTTTCCAATCCAATCAGCCCAACAAAACCTCTAATAAAACAGCGATGGCTTTCATGGTCCCCCTGGTCAAGAACCATTACGACATCTACGCACGGAACAATCCGGCTGATCACCACAACAATGGGAACAATGGCGGTACAAACAACACCGGAATTACCGGAAAGAGCGGCAACCTCGTCCACGACCCGGCCTCCAACTCGCTGATCCTCAGCGCTACGAGCCTCGGAAAGAGCGGGGCTCCCGTCAAGAAGCAGTACCGAATTATCCTCAGCGGTGGTCAGGTGGTGACCAATGGAAACAATGGAGGTAAAAAGAAGGTCCCCGGAGGTGCCGGCGCCAACTTTGTCACCGCCAACGGCAAGGCCTACTACCGAATGCCCTCCGCCAGCATCAGCCTTCCGGTCAATGGTCGAGGACCTCGACCTGGTGGTCCTGGAGGAGCTCCTCGTCGAAGCTCAAAGTCCACTTCAGAGGCGGGAGGAGCTGGCTCGGTTCGATCGACGCCCACCTCACCGGAGCATCGAAGTAACAGCAGCAACGGCAGCAACAGTCCGGGAAGTCCGCCTCACTACCCGAGTAGTAGACCGCCTCATTCTGCTTCCGCTTCGATTTGCCAACAACCGACCAGTGGAAGCTTCCGTCGAACCTCGGCTGGAGTTCGAAGTCCCCAAAATAATCGACTGTACAGCTACTCGGTCTCGATTCCCGAGGACGAGGAGAAGAAGGTGAAGGAGTCGCTGAACTCGCTGCTGGCGGACAAGGAGAACCTCGTCGACCAGGAAAGTCAACTTGAGGATGATCATCAGCTGCTGGCGATCTTCGCCACCTCGGCGCCGGGCGGCACGGGGGCCCTGGAGGAGGCCTCGCTGGTGAAGCCGCCGCCGAGCTTGAAGATGATGAAGAAGAAGATGGCGAAGAAGCCGCTGGTGCAGAAGAGCGCCTCTCTTAACGCTGCTTCGCCGCCGCCTCTAGTGGAGACAAAGGTTCATTCCATTTCACCCTCATCACCCCCTGCATCACCCACTTCGTCACCCCCAGCTTCACCCTCACCTTCACCCTCACCCTCACCACCTCCTCCGATCACCACCACCAGCCGAGAGTACGTCGAGCTACTTCGAAAGTTCATCCTCCACCTGAAGATGCTCAAAATTGGCAGCAGCAGCAACAACAACAACAACGGCTCATCGAAACAACGTAAACAAAGTAAGAAAAGCTCAGTCAAGTCAATCAAATCGAATGGCGTGGATAAGGAGGAATCAGAATTATCAGCAGCTGCTGCAGCTGATGATTCGGTTGTTGATGCTGCTGTTGAGGTCGGATCTTCCGAGGTATCCTCCGAGGACTCAACTTCCGCTCCTAAGCGTGCCCGAAAGCGCAAGGACACGATGGAGGATTCTAAGGACTTGTGAAGTCTTCGATTCAGAACATCTTTTACTTTGATTGAGTAAACTTGCCTGTGATCTCTTCAGTTCTTCAGTTCTTCTTCATCATCTTCATCATCTTTTGACCATCAAGTGACTAACTTGATCTAGCGTGATCATCATCATCAGCCGAAGCAATCAAACAGTGAGAAAACATTATATTTTATTTCAGCCCAGAATAATAACAAACTCCTTCTTCTTCTTCTTGTGTCAATTCTTCAGTGAGCTTTGTCCACTTCAGTGTGATCCAGTCTTTTCAGCATCTCCAATCCCCTTCTTCTTCTTCATTTTCTGCGATACAAACAAGTCAGTTATCTCCTTCTTCTTCTTCAATCAGCAACCAACGAACAACAATACCACAACAACAACACTCGAGCCTACCACACTTTTCCTGTACGATTGTACAAACAACATTGCTGTACAATCGAGCCTTTAGCCAGCCAATCCTTTCTTTCTTTACTGTTTGACTCCACCATCACAATTCTGTCACAATAATAATAATATCAGACGATTTTCATCACAGAGATTATCATTATTATTTTTGTACAACAACCGAGACAACAACAACCGAGCCGCAACTGTACGAGACCACACACACCTGTCACACACCCTTCTATCTATTTTATTTATGTCATGTCCCATTTCTTTTTCCGATCATCTTCATACAACAAAAAGATTTTAAAATAAAAGCATTTTTTATTTTAGACATTTGAGTTTGCTTCAAAGAATAACAAAAGTTGATGAGAAAAGTCGATGGTTTGTGCTGGTATAATAAATAAATAGAAGTTCAGACTCAAAGTTGGCATAATGAGAAAAGTGTAAATTGGAAAATGATGTTTTTGTTTTTGTTAAAACCTTCTAAAAGTGTTCACTGCTTCCGTCCACTGAGTTATCGTCGTGAAGTACTCGATTCGGCTCAAACCGGGGAAGGTTAAACTGCTCCTCAAACTCGTCCATTGCCTCGTTCAACTCCCGAACGATGGACATCATTCGCTTGGCGTGATTCAGCGCGTCCATTATCAGCTGGTCGACCTCCTTTGGGTCCACTTTTGAGGTGTTTCGCTTTCTCATCCTTCTCGAGGTAAATGAGGAGGATGGCAGGTTTCTTGAAGCCGAAGAAGAAAGGCCTGAAGAATATGAAGGTTGATTGTAGTCCTGCTGATAGAAGTAGAAGGTACGTCGAAGTGCCTCAAGGGCGGCCGCCTCTCGGTGGTGGACCTCGATCTGGCGAATGGCAGTGTCAATGTCGGAGAGGGCGTTTCGAGTTTCGTCGGTCTTTTCGGTCAGGAATCTAAAAATTAAAATTAATAAAACTTGGCTAAATTGTTCTTTAAGACTTACGAATGAGTTCGACTGAGGAGGGCGTCAAAGAAGTAGAGCTTCCGGCGACGAGCTTCTCGGTAGAGCAGAGCTGAGCGTTGTTTTAAGTTTAGGGATTGAGCGCTGAGAACTCCCAAACTCCGCTTTAGGCTTCGCAGCCTCTCTAGCTCTTCAGAGTACTGTCCTGGCTGCAGTTGCTGCTGCTGTTGAAGATTATTTTGTTGGGGGTGATTAAGAGGGACAGGTTTGTGGGTGAACTTAGTCGTGGGAAGCTCTTGAGGAAGTCCCGTGGGTGAAACGATTTGACAAAGCCTCTTCCACAGCTGTTCGATCATGGCGAGAAGATGAGGAGGAGGAGGATGAAATGGTTGTGATGTGATGTGATCTCTGGTGAGGATGACGAGTGACAGAGAACAGTCGAAGAAGAACTTGGTGATTTTATAGATATGATGATCGCATAGAGTTCGAAATTGTTGTTGTGATGAATGTGTGTGTGTATTTAGAATAAATAAAGAGAAACGCTTTGACAGTGAACGGAAGATAATTAAAATAGTGTTGGCACTTGAGATAATTAAGTAAAGCGGAANCTGGGAGCGGCGAGGCACCCTTCCCCTTCTCCATCCAGCCAGTCCTCGCTGGGCAGCGTGTCCTCCAGTCGGTAGACGGTCTCCTCGGCGAGGGTGTCCCGCGTGAAGGCGACCGGGCGGTATCGGCCCGGCTGCCAGATACCAACGTACGTCGTCAGCAGCGTCAGCTTGGGCAGCCTGGCCAGCGGGGCCCGGGCACGGCGAAGGCAATCGTTCACCAGAAGGCCGTAGGCGGCCTGCACATAGGCGGGCTTCTTCGCCAGCTCCTCGGGCACCTGGTAGGGGCAGTCGAGGCAGCGGGTGCGTCGGGGAATGAAGCACACTACCTGCAGGTTGGGAAAGAGCAGCTCCAGGCGCTGGTGTTCCAGGACCC